TTGTGACGTGCACCCATCCGTGACCTGAAAAGCCCGCCTCCAAGAGGTGATTGAACCAGCATATCAGCCGCGTCTGTGGTCATGCAGCCTCTCTCCGAGTCACGGGGATCTGCCTCGTATCCCAGAGTCTGAAATCTGCAATGAAACTTGCAGATGTTTTTTGCGAGTGACAGTGACACCACCAAAGACTGTTCCAGAACTACAGTTACCTTGAAACGTGGCTTACTCAAAAGCTGATCTGAAAACCTGGTGTATTTCCAACATAAAAAACGCTAACAACAGCCTCGGCCTGTGAGTACAATGCAACTAACTAGCCGTATGTCACTGTGAACTAAATAATTAGGTCTGATTCTGGACATAGGGCTCTATGTGAAGGGTTGCCATTGTTGGAAAAAGTTTATTCTCAGGTGTGAAATTACTATGTAACAACGAAAGCTGTACAGTTAGCTTTTGTTTACCTCTCACTTAGCAAGAGGCTACGTACGTCACTGCGCAGGGTGGAGGGAGGCGGGCTCACAAACAGAGGAGCACAGATCCAAGAGTTTCACCTGGGGTGACATCCCCTCTAAGCACGGAATGGCCATAATTTGACAAGTTTTGAGTGTTGTATGGTGTATCATCCAAATTATTATCACACATGTGCATAGGATGGACTGTGAAAAATGAAGACAAGTGAATTATGGAACATTTAAGATAAGATAAGATTAGATAAAAATAATACTGTATTCCTCAGGGCACTGTCCTCTCATCGTTTCTTTTCACCATCTACACTTCAGACTTCACATACGACACAAACAGCTGTCACCTGCAGAAGTTCTCAGACTACTCCGCCATCGTGGGCTGTGTGTCTGAGGGGAACCAACTGGAATATTGGTCGGATATCACAGACTTTGTCGACTGGTGTGAGCACAGCCACTTGTGCTTAAACACCAGTAAGACCAAGGAGATGGTCATCGACTTCAGGAGAAAACCACTTTCCCACACACTGATGAACATCCAGGGGGAGGACATTGAGCTGGTGGACAGCTTCAAGTACCTGGGTGTTCACATTAACAATAAACTGGACTGGTCCCATACCACCGACGCTCTGCACAAGAAGGGCCAAAGTCGCTTCTCCTTCTGAGGAGGCTGCGGTCCTTCGGAGTGAGCAGGCCTCTGCTCAGGACTTTTTATGACTCTGTGGTAGCCTCTGCCATACACTACGCTGCCGTGTGCTGGGCCCCGGGCAGCACAGAGCGGGACAGGAGTAGACTCAACAAGCTGGTTAGGAGGGCCAGCTCCACTCTGGGCTGCCCCCTGGACTCTGTGGAGGAGGCGAGGAACAGGAGGGTGCTAGTCAAAGTCACCTCCATCATGGACAACACCTTCCACCCACTGCACAGGACTGTAGAGGAGCTGAGAAGCTCTTTCAGTGGAAGACTGAGGCACCCTCAGTGCAAGAAGGAGCGCTACCGCAGGGCCTTTATCCCCACTGCTGTCAGACTGTACAGTAAGTCACATTAAGTCAATGCATTAGGAATGAAAAAAACTGCACTACTTAGTGACACTGTTTCTTGATTGCCACTTTTGAATCGCCACTTTTTATTGTACATAATACATCCTGTATTAAACGTGTTTGCACATTTCTTTCTTTTGCACTATCTTGAGTGTTTCTATCCATGCCAGATGTGACATGTAAATTTCTCCTGTGTGAGATCAATAAAGTCTATCTTATCTTATCTTATCTTATATTCCCTTATTTGTCCCACAGTGGGGAAATTTCAGTGTCATTACAGACGAGAAAAAGAAGGAAATAAGAGCACTCTTTATTTTGCCGAAATATTGCCGTCTTCCCAATAGTGACAATATTTTGTCCCGGGATTAAATATGAATCAATTAAATAAGTAATATCCGTTATATGGGCACTTGGCCATGGACACTCAAAGACGCTTCACTTTCATTAATGAAAAAACCTGAAAGCAATTGGCCACAGAGAACACCTGCACACACAATGAAGCATTTTTTAACAAACATTACCCATATATGGTTTATTCAAATTTGATTTTACTTTTGTGATGAAAACAGACCGAATTAGTTCACTTGTGTTTACTGAGAAAGGAAAATTACGATCTTGTCAAAGCTCAAGGTTAGCTGCTAACACTAGCATGATTTCTCATTAGAATAATAATAAAAATAATAATAATGAATGTGATTCAATACCACAGCTCTTCCAAAGTTTTAATTCAGTCGCGTTGTATAAACTGCTGTGTCTTTCTGTCTCTGTCTTCTGTCTCTGTCATCCCTCTCTCGTTTGGTACGCTACACTGGCGGCAGCGGTGCCACTGTTACCACCTGGGTTAATGTACGGAGGTGGCGGTAATGATGTGCAGTCAGGGGAGGCATTGAAAAAAAATATTATTTTAGTTGTAATATAAAATTGTTTTCCACTTTCCTATGCTTTTAATGTTATTTTTTTGACACAGTTCAGACCAGTTTGAATATCCTGCTTTGAAAACATTTGTTAAACTTTTCATAGTGTTTAGTAGTGCATTGCACGTATGTGTGTACTATTTATATTTAGTTTAAGTCTTTTAATTCGGAGAATAATACACAGGGAAAAACCTTTCCTCGCATTATTGCATTTGTGATTTAGGGATATTTTATTAGAATATTGATGGTAAATCTGACTTTTAAAGTCAGTGCCTCACTGCACGTTACTGGGTGGCGGCGATGTGAGACAAACATTTGTGCCTTGCCTTTTGTGCTTTTCTTTTGGTGGGCAATCCTAACCTGACAGAGCCGCCTGCCATTATACCCTGGCCCTGCACTGGAGTGATGGCGTGGCCTGTGCTGTTCTGGGGCTCTTCTCGGCTGGGGTGACAGTCAAGGACTGGTGCTGCCGCCGGGAGCGATGTTCCGGCGCCTGATATGGTGTCTGTTTTGAGTCTGTAACTCTGATGTTTCCGACGCGTTTTACAATCCCGTTTTCTGGAGGTTCTGATGATTTCCTGTGTTCCGGTCGTGGGTTAGGGTTGGAGTTTGTGCTCCGGTGTTTCGCCCATTGTCTACCTGCTGCGGGGAGTCCAGGTTGTTTTTGGATCGCCAGTCTTTGGTTAATGCAGCCTCGCGGAAATTCAATTTGGAAGACGTCAGCCAAAGCCACCCCTTCCAGGCCGGCCTCGCAGCCCCAGCCTATCGCACAGCAAACGCCCATTTCCAACCAACCTACGCCGGCCAGGCCAGCCGCTTAAAAGCGGAGAAACTCCCACTTTACGGCCTTCTCGAAGCCTTGCAAACCACCGCCTCCCCTCCTCCTCCTTTTCTCACCCCGCCTCAATCATGCCTCTTCCTGCTGCCCGAATGCCGCCACCAGTGCCTAGATCCCGGGGGATTGTGCGCGCACTCTCGCAGGAGCCTTGCTGACTGAACGCCGCACCGGGGCCTAGGGCGCCAAACTTCCTTCAATAAAATACTTCAAATGCATTTTGTCTCCTCGTCTCTCCAGATTGAATTGGAGGATGCTGGGACTTTGCTGTTTTGTAAAGTTTTGTGTGTATGTGGTGCATTATTTCAGTTGTAGACATGAGGACATGTCTTGTAAAAGGGGGGGGAGTATGTAAGCGAGATTTCAGTATTACACCAGTGACTGTTGTTTTGCGAGTTTTGGTTCGCTATTAAAAACAAAAACGGGGATCTCACTTTTGTGTAACCAGTGATGCAACACTGAAATATCCCCACTGTGGGACGAATAAAGGATTTCCCAATCAGTGATACCGTGGAGAACACCTTCATAAAGAAGACTTGTTACACATTTTTTTTATTTAAAATTGCAATCAAAATGTGTTTACGGTCATTATAGAATTATCTGATTCTCTTCTCACATGATTAAGTCTATGGAAGTTTCAAAAAAATGTTCTAAATCATGTTCCCGGTGCATGTTGGCCTCCGCCAGGGCTGCCCTTTGTCACCGGTTCTGTTCACTGTATTCATGGACAGAATTTCTATGCGCAGCCAGGGACCGGAGGGGGTCCGGTTCGGGGACCACAGGATTTCATCTCTGCTGTTTGCGGACGATGTTGTCCTGTTGGCTCCAACGAACCAGGACCTACAACATGCACTGGGACGGTTTGCAGCCGAGTGTGAAGCGGCTGGGATGAGAATCAGCACCTCCAAATCCGAGGCCATGGTGCTCGACCGGAAAAAGGTGCCTTGCCCTCTACAGGTGGGTGGAGAGGCCCTTCCTCAAGTGGAGGAGTTCAAGTATCTCGGGGTCTTGTTCACGAGTGAGGGAAGGATGGAGCGTGAGATTGACAGGCGGATCGGTGCAGCGTGCGCAGTGATGCGGTCGCTGTATCGGACCGTCGTGGTGAAGAGGGAGCTGAGCCGAAAGGCAAAGCTCTCGATTTACCGGTCAATCTTCGTTCCCTCCCTCACATATGGTCATGAGCTTTGGGTAATGACCGAAAGAACGAGATCGCAGATACAAGCGGTCGAAATGAGCTTCCTCCGCAGAGTGGCTGCTCCCTTAGAGATAGGGTGAGGAGCTCGGTCACACGGGAGGAGCTCGGAGTAGAGCCGCTGCTTCTCCACGTCGAGAGGAACCAGTTGAGGTGGCTCGGGCATCTGTTGCGGATGCCTCCTGGACGCCTCCCTGGGGAGGTGTTCCGGGCACGTCCCACTGGGAGGAGGCCCCGGGGAAGACCCAGGACACGCTGGAAAGACTGTGTCTCTCAGCTGGCCTGGGAACGCCTTGGGGTCCCCCCAGACGAGCTGGAGGAAGTGTGTGTGGATAGGGAAGTCTGGGCGTCTCTGTTTAGACTGCTGCCCCCGCGACCCGGCAACGGATGAAGCGGAGGAAAACGGACGGACGGACGTTCTAAATCAGTTATCAACTATTTCAATAAGTGATTAATTGCAATTAATTGATTAACCCTTCGCCATATTCGTATCGTGACCCAAGTATCAAGGTGCATATGGTAAGAACAAACTCAGTACTTTTCTCACCTTGTGACTGGGCAAACTCATGCCTGTGCCCTCGGGCCATCTGCACAGTCAGAGCCACAACAATGACCATAGTGCAGGGCAGTCCGGTTCTCCACGCCGTCTCCATGGTTACTGCAGAGGTCGGTATAGTCGCAGAAGTCAGTGCAGTGGTCACAGCGCCTCTGTCCCAACATGTCTCCTGTCCTGTGGGATGTCCCGCTCCTAGCAGAGGGACAGCAGAACGCAGTGTGTTCTGTCCATCGCTGTGTCAGGCTGGAGGTCACACAGACATGGTGGGGGTGCCAAGGGTGAGACTGGTCCTGGTGCTGTCTGTCTGGGTCCTGGGAGAAGAAACAAGAAGGATACACACACATTTAAGTTCACTTATTCATGAAAATTTCACACTGTTCTAGAGTTAAACAAGTAAAATTTATAACTGGTATGGCTGGTGTTTGTCAGAATTAATGCATGATTATAAAGCGTTTGCATTTATTATGTAAATGATGCATTATTATCAAATATGTATCTTAAAAAAGTAAAATGTAGAACATTTAGAATACATGTTATCTTTTGTTTACTTGTATTACAATACAATACAATACAATACAATTTATTCTTGTATAGCCCTAGGTCACAACAGAAGTCATCTCAGAGGACTTAACAAAACCATTGAAATCACCAACACAGGTCAGAGAATCAACAGTTAAAACACATGAAGAATATAAAGCACACACAGAAGAAAATGTCCATACATGTTGTAGAATGCTAAAGTGTCCTGATCATCACCAATCCTTTCTGTTGGACACTAACTGTCCAACAAGACCCTCCTGCATCGACAAGGAAAAACTCTTAAAAAACCCAGTGGGAAAAAGTGAGAAACCTTGGGGAGAACTAGGGAAACCCACAGGGAGGGAGACCCATATGAGAAAGGGATCCGCTCCTCCGGACGGACAGGCTAATGATCTAGGACCTAAGCTAGCTACAGGACGTGGACCAGTGGACGCTGAACGTGGACAGGTCCGGTGCAGGACTGAAGCACTCCCAGGCGGGTTGGGCAGGGCAGTCCGCAGGTGTAGATGGAAGAGGCCAGGCTCAGAGATCCCGTCATCGTACCATGAAACAGACAATGGGACAACGGGTGAATAGCAATGAACAAACTACAGTCAGAATCCTAAAAATGCTAAACAGATAAAGTAGGAAGGAGGAGAGGATAGTGCTCAAGTTACCATACTTCTCCCAGCAAACTGACTCCCTATGCAGCTTGACTAACACTCTGAGGAGTTTAACCTTCTCCGAGTCTTACCTTCCTAGCCATATGCTAAACTAAAGAGGACTGTTTTAAACCTAGCCTTGAATAAAGAATAACATACAGCATAATATATAACATAATATACAACATAACACAATACATTATTGAATAATATATAACATAATATATAACATAATACAGCATATATATATAATATATACACTACATATTATATATTACCTAACTATATGCTAAATTAAAGTAAAGTGCTTTAAGCCTGGCCTTGAATGTGGAGACCGTATCTGCTTCCTTAACATAAATGAAGCTGATTCCACAGTAAAGGAGCTTGGAGCTAAATGCTCTGCCACCAACAGTGACCTTTGAGCCCTTAGGAACCACCAGACGTCTGGCGTTTTGTGAGCGCAACGCTCAACCTGGTTGATACGACACTAACGTGTCTTGGAGATAGGAAGGAGCCAAGACATTTATGGCTTTATATGTGTTAGTATTAGATAGCAATATGGCCTACGTGCAGGACTGTACAAGGACTCTACAAGGACTCCATGTTATGACTATGATTTGACTGTCTCTTTGTGACACGTATGTCTTTCGATGTGTGACGTGACAATGACTATATAAACTGTGTACTGCCTTTATTCTGTCTGAGGGAAAGAAACAGAGTAAACTAGTGGAACTTGAGAGAAACTTAAATAAACTTCCAGAGTTTGGCACACCACGATCCGTCTCTCTCTGCTTAAATCCTAACAGATTTGGTGGAGAATGCGCGGCTCGGTTTGTGCCATTCTCTGGATTGTTTTGGGGGAGTTTTGCTCTGTTTCTTTTCCTCTGCGTTAGAGATCGGCATGCTGTGTCTGGGAGCGGGGATTCCAGCAGGCTGGAAGAGCTGTTCCTGGATGCTTCTTGTCGCTTCTGTCACTTTTGTTTTTTTAAATTGAATATTCCGACGCGGAAAAGAGTTGGCAGACCTCTCGGACAGCCCGTGCATGCACCTGTTTGACAAGAATAAGGTAAGCAGACACCTTTTTATATGTAAAGTCTGCATAATTGGATACTAGCTAAATTTGGGTGTGTTTTTGAGGTCTGTCGAACTCTCTAAATTGTGTTCAAATAAGTGAAAAGGCCATAAAGTGTGTGAAGGATCCATAAGTGAAAAGGCCATAAAGTGAGTGAAGGATCCATAAGTGAAAAGGCCATAAAGTGAGTGAAGGATCCATAAGTGAAAAGGCCATAAAGTGAGTGAAGGATCCATAAGTGAAAAGGCCATAAAGTGAGTGAAGGATCCATAAGTGAAAAGGCCATAAAGTGAGTGAAGGATCCATAAGTGAAAAGGCCATAAAGTGAGTGAAGGATCCATAAGTGAAAAGGCCATAAAGTGAGTGAAGGATCCATAAGTGAAAAGGCCATAAAGTGTATAGGATCCAAAAAGTGTTGGCCATAAAGTGTATAGGATCCATAAGTGAAAAGGCCTAAGTGAAACCATGGTGTAATAATAAAAGCAATTTTTAAAAAGGGAAACGTGTTAAGGAGGCCTTTGTTACAAAAGCTTTGAAATTGACGAATTTCAGGCTGATAAATGACAAAAGTAAAGAAACAACAATATTTCAGTGATCACGGTTTAAATTACATACAGAAAAAGGGAGTTTTTGTTTTTGGAGTGAACAGAGTTCACCGGAGAATGCAGAGTTTTATCTACAGTTGAGCTATGAGAGGGCTGTATCCAACAGTTGTTTTTGTTTTTTAGAAAGAGATTTTGAGTTTAAATTAGTTTGCTACCTCGATAAAATAGAAGCGTACGTTAAAGTAAGAGTGCCTTTTGTTACTAGTGTGGAAAGTGATCACTTCTAGATTTGGATGACAAAAGTATAAAGAACAACATCAGTTATATTCGCTTAACAAAGTAATCTTGAAAGTTCTTCTTCTGTATCTTTCTGCCTGTGTGTGCGCGTCTGTGTGAAAGGAACCCCCCCGCCCTCGCTGCTGCTGAGCTGCTGCTCTGATTTAAAGGGGAGCTACTGCTTTAGGAATTTGGCTTTTCATAGTAGTTATTCCGTTAAATTTGCTAAATTTGCCATTTGAACATTGTGTTAGACACAGTTAAACGTTTTTAAACACCATTAGGGAATAGAAGTTTTGAATTAGTATGTTTTTGAAACCCAAAGATTAGTACAAAAAGCTTTGCTTTTCTTTTTAAATATGCTGCTTATTTTTGTGAGTCCATTATTGCATCTCTGATATATTTCATAGCTGTTAGTGAGAATTTTTTCATGTATTTTTTATTTTAGTTACAAAAGCCGTTTTTCAAACATTTAAATTAGAATCTGTTAAAAGTGATTAATGATTGTAGACTTCGTCTAAAAAAGAAAGAGGGAATTAGGCTGTAAAAGTATTATATTATTAAGTTAAACTACCCAATTCACATGCAAGTGGTGACTTTTGTTTTTGTTTTGACTACACGCGTGACCTTGCTGCTGCTCAGAGACATGAGGAGGCAGCTCCGACGCACAATTGAGTTTTATTGAACCAAATCCAGTTTAGCTGGAGCTAAATCTTTTGTTTGATTTCAAGTTTTGTTTTAAATGTTTTTACAAATTGATGTTCATTTTTATAGAGATTTTTCATAATTTCATTTCATGGCGTCTTTCAAGAAACCCAAGGACGCATAGATAATTAATCACACAGTACAAAAGTATATAATACATGTTTTAAAGTCTAAAAGGTTGTTTGTTTTGAGTATAATTGTTGTTTTGATAACTTCTTTAGTTTCTGGTTTTAAAATGTCATCATTAGTAAGAGAATAAGTAATCTTTATTTACATAGCGCTTGGGAAAGCCAAGAGCGCTCAAATTGTTTTGACATCAGAGAGAAAAACAATCTCATTCGCATACTGATATCTATTGTTTTTTTAAATTGGCTGTTTCAAGGATTGTTTTTCAGACTCTGGCACACTGTGGGAGGGGTCACTGCTGGACACTGGACAGCGCAAAGCCCACCCAGCCACAGGTCACAGATCAAAGAGCAAAGGAAAATGCCACCTCCTTGCCCCTCCCCACGCCACTGCAGAACTGAGTGGGTGTGAGAGAGACCGGGGCCATGAAAGAGAGGTATCTGGAGACGTGATGGGTGGAGCGTCAGGTAGAGACCTAGAGGGAGTTGAAAGTGTGTCCAGTTGGTTTACATCACCACAGTGTGACCTTTGACACCTACAGGTGGTTCGTGGAGTCTGGAGAGACAACCCCAAAATTCACATACACACACACACATACACACATACACACACATTCACATTTACATATAGATACATGAAAAAGCAGAACATGAGAAAAAAGCATTTTAAAAGTTTACTCCAATGTAAACACATATTTTTAATTGTCTATCACTTGAATCTTTAGTTGAATCAGTATTTTTTGAGACCAGAAATGTTCATTTGAATTCTATATTGTCATGGACTTAATTGACCTCTGTCCTGACACTTTTGATTTGTTGATTTTGTACTGTGTGAAGTAATTACATTGATGAGAATTAGATCTGATAAAAACACAAATTAGAGAAGTAAACTGCGCTTGCTTTTTGTCTGAGAGACATTAGCAACAGCATGAATAGAAATTGTCTTTAAAGTAGAATCAAAGTGACTTAACCATAGAGAGTAACTATTGCATAACAAGCTGTGTACAGGAACTGAGACACTGCACCATTGACCAGAAGTGCGTCGCAAATGACCTGATGTGCTTCAACTGAAAAGACTGTATCTGGAGATCTGATGTCCAACTGGAGAACCAGAACCATGGCTTGGACCCTACTGATGTCCAAGATGACCTGACCTGATGACGACTGAGACTCACCCTCAGGGGACCCTGAGGACCTGAGGACCTGAGAAAAAACTGGGGAGTGATGTTTATATTTTTGAAATCATACATTGATGAGTGCTAAATGAGAGAGATACTCATGATTCCTTCTTTTGTTTTTGTTTGTCCCTAGCTTCTGGACATCTGATGATCTATTGGACACAGCCGATTTGCAGAACAAGAACCAGCCAATGAAACGTCTATTGCTGATGCTATTGCTACAACCAGAACCACAACTGTGACAAATGCAATATACATGTTA